GAATGACTTTCACAACAAGTGCCCATATTCCACAATATTTCATCTAAACAATGTTAGTACCACAACCGCACATAGCCCTCGGCTCAACAAACTGAGTACAACAACAACAACAACAACAACAACAATAGCACGAGAATACGACAAGTAAATCAACTAAAGGGCTTTGGCTCACAAAGAAGCGGTAGAACGAGCTCACAAAGAATAAACATAATAGGGAATGCTAGCCTCAATAAGAATGGCTCAACAAGGGATAAATAATATGTGACAAATTATTCTAAATAAGGATGGGGCAACTATGATAAAGGATAACTAAACTTCATTTAGGGTTGAGCAATTACGATGAGATGCAACAAATTCAATTAAGGATAAGCAACGAAAAAGAGAATCATAACCTCAATTAAGGGTAGACAACTACAGAAGAGATAATAATAATTTCAATTAAGGATTAGCAATTAGGAAAGGATAGCAAGACAAATCCACGAATAATTTCAATTCAAGATACCCCAATGAGTACCTTGAAAAACCCACGAAAAATCTCCCAAAACTGAGGTGTAGAACTAAAAATATGTTAAAAATATCAAACCCTCGACATAAATGGGATTCTGCCCAGGCTTTTCGCATTTACGAACATGAATGTTGCATCTGCGGCCTCGCATTTGCGAGAAAAGGTCTGCATCTGCGAACTCAACTGGCAAGCCCAGTGGCCGCACCTGCGACTCCGCAAAAGCGCAAAAAAAGTCGCAGATGCGGAGATCTTCGCATTTGCGATCTCTAGGCCGCAAAAGCGGCCATCGCACTTGCGTTCCCAAACTCCGCAAAAGCGAGTTCCCCTCAGGCCACAATGATCGCAGAAGTGACCATGCTCACATAGAAGCGGAGCCACACCTGGGCTCCAAAACATCACAAGTGCGAAGCACCAGAACAAGACCTGATCACAAGCATGGAAATCATCCAAAACTCGTCCGAAACACACCCGAGGGCTCCGAGACTCCATCCAAGCATACCAAAAAGTTTCAAAATACAATGTGGACCTACTCGAGGCCTCGAATCACATCAAACAATGCCGAAATTATGAATCGCACCACGAATCGAACTCATAAATTTTGAAGTCTTCTAACTCCCAAAACTCGTGCCGAAACACACCAAATCAACCCGGAATAATGTCAAATTTTGCATGCAAGTCCCAAATGACATAACAGAGCTAATCCAATTCTCGGAATACAAATTTGACCCCAATATCACCAAGGTTAATTCTCGGTCACCCCTCTTAACTTCCAAAAACTTCAACTTTCTAATTTTTGCCGAAATGCTTCAAATTACCCTACAGGTCTCCAAATCCAAATACGGACCCACGCCTAAGTACAAAATCACCATACGAAACTATTGGAACAATAAAAATTTTATTCCGGAGTCGTCTACATAAAAGTCAAATTTCAGTCAACTCTTGCCGCTTAAGCTTCTAAAACACGAATCCTTCTTCCACATCAATCCCGAATAATTTGAAGTCCGAACTCGACTACGCGCGCACGTCATAACATATAATATGGAGCAGCTTGAGACCTTCAGCCAATGAACGGACTGCTAATACTCAAAAAGACCTGTCGAGTCGTTATAAATATTGAATTTCTTTACATCTTATGCTCTAGTCTAAACTCGTGATTCAAATAGGTAATCGAAAGAGCTTCTTGAATTATTAATCAAAATAAAAAATAGAAAAATATTCGTGAGAAGTTACCCTTTAAATCATAACCATCATTTTATTCATTTCAATTAGTTACCGTGATTCAATTGGATTAATTGCTGAATTTAACATTTAATCAGAAGAGGAATATTAACTTCAAGAGTAATCTGATTATCTATTAAATTTGTGAGAATCAACAGTATTATAGAGTGAACTAACTCAAGAATTGAATCTTGAGTCAATTATCTTGCACATGTCTAGTCAAATATCTTTATTTCTCTCATTGATATCTCTTTGTTGCTCATTTGCTATCTTTGGTGATCAATTGTTAATTGCTTAATGTTTAGTAGTTAATCGTAGTTGAAAATTATTAAATCAAGTGTTAATTTTCCTGGATAGTAATTAACAGAAGATTATTCGAATACTGTTTAAATCCAAGCCCTGTGGAGACGATTTAAATTAAACTATCTTTGACTAGCGAGCAATAATTTTGTGTTGTATTTTGCGCTCGTCAAATTTTGGCACCGTTGCTGGGGATTAGCAATTAATAGTGTTTAAAATAGCTTTTAGTACTAATTCAGGAACCAATTTTGCTTTATTATATTCACGTTTTCTCACTTGTGTGCAGAGTAAAGGTTTAACTTCTCTGATGTATGACTCGATCTTCTTCAAAGGCAGTGATACCCTACAAATCAAAGTTGGAGAAACACATGCGACAACTGACGAAAGAAAGAGAATTAACAAAAAATTTCTTGGGTCATACTTCGACTCGAGATAACATGGCAAACAAAGAGATTGATGGAGTAGACTTAGCTATAAGAGAGGCAGCACAACAAGAAGCGGCACGGATAGCAGCTGAGGCAACCCTTAGAGCTACTGAGGGGACTATCCAAGATGGTGGGGGTCAAAGATTCAATCTAAACTGACTCTTGGTTGAAGACCAGTTCGAGAATGCAACACCTAGGGCTGGGAGGTCATTAGGGGATTATGCTTGACCAGGCTACAATCAAGGATTGTCAAGTGTTAGGCCTCCACCCATAGCAGCAAACAGATTTGAGTTGAAGAAAGGCTTGATTCAAACCATCCAAAAAAGTGTATCTTCAGAGGGAAGGTGAAAGAAGATCCTAACACTTACTTAATGGACTTTGAGGAAATTATGAACACCTTCCAGTATAATGGAGTATCAAAAGATGCAGTCTATCTAAGGGAATTCCCATTTTCACGGAAGCATGACGCGAAGCAATGGCTTCGTAGCTTACCGATCGGGTCTATCAGCACATGGGAAGATATAACTAAAACGTTTCTTGACAAGTACGTCTCAGCTGCAAAAACAGGGAAGTTTATAAGGAAAATTCACAACTTCTACTAGAGGGATACTGAAATGATTTTTAAAGCTTGGGAATGATTCAAGGAGATTATAAGAAGGTGTCAACATAATGGAATTGAATTGTGGATGCATTTTCAGGACTTCTGGGATGGACTGACACCCTCCTCACGACGAACTCTGAGTACCGCATGTGGAGGTCCATTAATGAAGAAAATTCCGGAGGAGGTCGTCTTAATTCTTGATGAATTGTCTAAGGACGCTAACTAGTGGCCTGATGAGGGTAATGATAGGAGAAAATCTGTTGGGGTTCACCAGGTAGACTCTAACACATCAGTGCAAGCCCATCTAGATACCATGGCCAAAGAGATAAGAAAGCTGACATTGTCCAAGATACTGAGTGAACCACAAGCAGCATGTGACTTTTGTGAAATGGGACACCCTACACATAAGTGTCAAGCTTCAGCTGAGGAAGTAAACGCATTCCCCTTTTCACGGAAGGATGACGTGAAGCACTGGCTTCGTAGCTTATCATATCAGGTCGATCAGGACATGGGAAGACATAACTAAAAAGTTTCTTGACAAGTACGTCTCAGCTGCAAAAATAAGGAAGTTTAGAAGGGAAATTCACAACTTCTACCAGAGGGACACTGAAGCGATTTTTGAAGCTTGGGAATGATTCAAGGAGATAATGAGAAGGTGTCAACATAATGGAATTGAATTATGGATGCATTTTCAGGACTTCTGGGATGGACTGACACCCTCTTCACTACGAACTCTGTGTACCGCATGTGGTGGTCCATTAATGAAGAAAATTCTGGAGGAGGTCATCCTAATTCTTGATGAATTGTCTAAGGACGCTAACTAGTGGCCTGCTGAGGGTAATGACAGGAGAAAATCTATTGGGGTTCACCGGGTGGACTCTAACACATCAGTGCAAGCCCAGGTAGATACCATGGCCAAAGAGATAAGAAAGTTGACATTGGCCAAGATACGGAGTGAACCACAAGCAGCATATGACTTTTGTGGAATAGGACACCCTACACATGAGTGTCAAGCTTCAGCTGAGGAAGTAACGCATTCCCCTTTTCACGGAAGGATGACGCGAACCACTGGCTTCGTAGCTTACCGATCAGGTCGATCAGGACATGGGAAGACATAACTAAAAAGTTTCTTGACAAGTATGTCTCAGCTGCAAAAATAGGGAAGTTTAGAAGGGAAATTCACAACTTCTACCAGAGGGACACTGAAACGATTTTCGATTGGGAATGATTTAAGGAGATAATGAGAAGGTGTCAACATAATAGAATTGAATTGTGGATGCATTTTCAAGATTTATGGGATGGACTAACACCCTCCTCACGACGAACTCTGAGTACCGCATGTGGAGGCTCATTAATGAAGAAAATTCCGGAGTAGGTGGTCTTAATTCTTGATGAATTGTCTAAGGACGCTAACTAGTGGCCTGCTGAGGATAATGATAGGAGAAAATCTGTTGGGGTTCACCAGGTGGACTCTAACACATCAGTGCAAGCCCAGCTAGATATCATGGCAAAAGAGATAAGAAAGTTGACATTGGCCAAGATACTGAGTGAACCACAAGCAGCATGTGACTTTTGTGGAATAGGACACCCTACACATGAGTGTCAAGCTTCAGCTGAGGAAGTAAATGCGGTAGGGAACTTTAATAGAGGAAACTATCAAGGTAGGAACAATTATAATATTTTGGGACAAAGACATCCAGGTTTTTCATGGAGTTCACCTAGTGGGAGTTTGAACTCATGGCAGCAAAATAATCATAGACCCCAGGGTCAAAGACCACCAGGTTTTCAGAACCAGCCTAGGCAGCAGTACCAGCCACAACAGTTAAATCATTCTAGTATGGAAGATCTCATGAAGGCATTCATAAACAAAATAGATGAAAAATTTGAGACGCAGGCCATAACCATCTAGAAAAAAAGACAAATGGGATAGATTGCAAATCTGTTATCTGAGATGGCTCCTCGGACTCTACTATCTAACACTGAAAAGAACCCAAAGGAAACAATCAAAGTTGTATTTCTAAGAAGTGGCAAAATAGTGGTTGACCCAGTTATGAAAGCTAGACCTGAGGTGGTGAACAAGCAGACTGAGACATTGGAAGCGAAAAAGTGTAAAATGCAGAATGGCCAGAGTAGTGGGGTACAAGAGGAGATTGAAGAAAGTAGACACATGCCAGCTCTATTATTCCCTCAAAAGATGAAGCGGGAAAGACTTGATAATTATTTTGGGCGGTTCTTGGAGATGCTCAAACAACTTTATGTGAATATTTCTTTCACAGAGGTACTCATTCAGATGCCAGCGTTCTTGAAGGAAATCCTATCTAGCAAGAAGAAATTAAATGAGATAACAGTGTCTATGTTGAATGTCCACTACAATGCCATATTGCAAAATAAAATTTCCCAAAAGTGTGAGGACCCAAGAAGCTTCACCATACCATGCTCGTTGGGGAATGAGAAATTCGACAAGGCCATCTATGATTCTGGTGTGTCTATAAATCTAATGCCTTTGTCTGTGTTCAGAAAACTTAAAGGTGAGCTTGGAGTGATCAAACCAATACCAGTGTCCCTACAACTGGCTGACTAGACAACCATCCTACTTGAAGGAATTATTGAGGATATTCTAGAATGGGTGGACAAGTTTGTGTTCCCCGTGGACTTTATTTTGGTCGACATGGAGGTGAACAAGGAGGTACCTCTAATTCTAGGAAGGCCATTTTTATGTACAAGCAGAGCAATCCTTGATATCTATGAGGGGCAGCTTATGCTCAGGGTGGGAAATGAGAAAGTAGTATTTCAGATGGAAAGAATGATGAAATACCCCAATGATGAGGCGTCTGCCTACTCGTGCTTCAAACTAGATATTGTTGGGGAATTGGTTGAAAAATATAAGCTTGAAAATCTTGTTGGGGATACTCTAGAGAGGTGTATTACTCAGTCTAGTACAGTGGATGATGAAGATCCTGAAATAAAGAAAAAGGATGAAGCTCTTGAAATTGAGGATCAATTGGTTGATGAGGAGGAACTAAAATAGGAGGCTTCTAAGCCTAGTGTGGAATTGATAGTCCTCCCTACTCACTTTTAATATGCTTTTCTTGAAACTAACAATTTTCCTGTGATTATTTCTGCTTACTTGACATGTACACAAGAGCAAAAGCTGGTGGAGCTGCTGAAAAAGTACAAAAGGGCATTGGCTGGAGTATAGCTGATATTCAAGGAATTAGACCAGCCATTTGCATGCACAAAATTCTGCTAGAAGAAAATAACAAGCCAGTGGTGTAGCCCCAACACAAGTTGAACAAAAATCTAGAGGAGGTAGTGCACAAGGAGATCATTAAATTGTTAGATGCGGGAGTGATTTTCCCCATATGTGATAGCCAGTGGATTAGTCCAGTGCAAGTTATACCCAAGAAGGGGGCATGACAGTGGTGAAGAATGAAGATAACGAATTGATCCTAACAGGAACAAGCACTGAGTGGAGAATGTGCATTGATTATAAAAGGCTGAATGATGCAACAAGGAAAGATCACTTCCTACTTCCCTTAATTGATCAAATGCTCGAGAAAGTGGCTGGACATGGATATTACAGTTTCTTGGATGGGTACCCAGGCTACAATCAGATACCCATTGCCCCAGAAGATGTTGATAGGACTACATTCACTTGCCCGTCAGGTATTTTTGCTTACAGGAGGATGCAATTTGGGTTGTGTAATGCACTAGCTATTTTTCAGAGGTGCATGATGTCTATTTTCTCCGATCTCAACGGGAAGTGTCTAGAGGTATTAATAGGTGATTTTACCCTCTTTGGTGATGACTTTGATGATTGCTTGAAAACTTTGGAGCTTGTGCTTGAACGTTGCGAAGCCAGTCACCTGGTTCTTAACTGGGAGAAGTGTCATTTTATGGTGAAAGAAGGAATTGTTATGGGCATAAAGTGACTGCACATGGCATTAAGATTGATAGAGCCAAGGTTGATGTAATTGCTAGGCTCCCTCTACCGAATTCTGTAAAGAGCATAAGGAGTTTCATGGGACATTCTGGGTTCTATAGAAGATTCATTAAAAACCTTTCCAGCATTACCAAGCCGTTGACTGCAGTGCTAGCGAAGGATGTCAAGTTTGTTTTTATTGTGGAGTGCTTAAGAGCATTCGAATTGATAAAGGAAAATCTTGTGAGTACTCCTATTATGGTGAATCCTGATTTGAGCCATCTATTTGAAATAGTGTGTGATGTTAGTGATGTAGCTGTGGGGGCAGTTCTGGAGCAAAGAAAAGATAAGATGTTTAGCCCCATCTACTATGCAAGCAGGATATTGAATGATGCTCAGGTCAACTATGCCACTAATGAGAAGGAGTTCTTTATTGTGGTCTTTGTTTTTGACAAGTGTAGATCATATCTGGTGGGGAGTAAAGTGATTGTGCACACTGATCACTCAGCCTTGAAATACTTGTTGAGTAAGAAGAAGTCCAAGCCGCGTCTGATGCGATGGGTGCTATTGCTCCATGAGTTTGAATTGGAGATCAAAGATAGGAAGGGCACAAAAAATCAAGTCGCAAATCATATATCTCGACTTGAGAGACCTCCAATTGAGACAATTGAAATAAGGGAAGAGTTCACCGATGAGCAGATTTTCTCTATTGTTGTGGTCTCCGAAAAGACCGCCTTGGTATGCTGATGTAGACAACTTTTTGGCTAGTGGATGGTTGCCATGTGACCTCTCTAGTGATCATATAAGGAAGCTTCAAGGTGAGGCAAAAAGTTATTTTTGGAATGACCCTTTCTTGTTTAAACTGTGTGCAGATGGTGTGATTCAAAGGTGTGTTCCTGAAGGAGAGATGGTAAGCATTCTGTCTCATTGCCATGATGGAGCAGCTGGAGGACACTATGCTGGAAATCACATTGCAGCAAAGGTGGAAGCCAGTTTCTATTGGCCTACTTTGTATAAAGATGCACGGGCATATGTAGTTGCATGTGACAAGTGCCAAAGGGCAGGTAACATTATCAAGAGGGATGAGATGCCTCTCAACTCCATTTTGGTATGTGAAATTTTTGACGTTTGGGGCATTGACTTCATAGGCCCGTTCTCATCGTCGCATTCTTATGAGTATATCCTAGTAGTCGTTGACTACGTCTCTAAATTAGTTGAAGCAATCCCTACTAGGACCAATGATGCTCGAGTGGTGTGTGAGTTCTTACGGAAGAACATCTTTACCCGCTTTGGACACCTCGAGTGATTATCAGTGACAATGGGTCACACATTGTGAACAAGCAGTTTGTTGCTCTACTTTCCAAGTATGTGGTCACACACAAAATAGGAACCTCGTACCATGCCCAAACTAATGGCAAGTTGAAGTGGCTAACCGTGAGCTTACGAAAATTCCTGAAAAGACAATTAGTGCTTCTCATAAGGATTGGTCTATAAAGTTGGATGAAGCTCTATGGGCGTACAGAACTGCATTCAAAACAATCATAGGGTCCTCATCGTTTAAATTAGTGTATGGAAAATCGTGTCATCAACCTGTTGAGATAGAACATAAAGCTTATTGGGAAATTAAGATGCTTAATCTTGATCTTAGTCTTGCAGGTGAACACAGGTTGGCGCAGATGAACAAACTGGAAGAGTTTAGACTTGACGCGTATGAAAATGCGCGAATTTTTAAGAAAAAGACAAAGAGGTGGCATGATGTCTGATTAAGCCAAAGGAGTTTCATGAAGGGGACTAATCTATGCCAAACCTACACCACAATTGAGTAGCAAGGCAGTCGATGCAATAATAAACCCAACAAAGGTCGGGATCGAATCCACAGGGAGTTAGAATATGAGATTAGGTGTATATCTAAGTTAATTGCAAGTTCTGGCTTTAATTGCACTTCCACAAACTTGATTGGTGTTTCTATTTCTAACTTTACTCTAAAGATTGCAATAATTGAAACTAAGGACAATATTTTTGTTGTTGTTTTTCAAATGTTTAAAGAGACTAGGGTAGTGACTTCTACCTAGGTGGATATCTAACGGGTAGCAAAATCTAGGGAAAGCTTGATTAGTTGGGATTGTAATATAGCTATCACACTCAGGTACTCATTTTATACCTCTTGGTAGTTTGAGTGATTTTGCCCAATTTGGCTTTCTCAAGTATAAATGTGTATTCATGCAAATCAAGTGATATTAGATCAAGTTGGGTATTACTATCTCTAGGTTTAATCCTTTAATTGGGGCTATCAATTCCTTGAGTTCACCCCAATTCCTTATTAGCCTAGGTTTCCTAGACTTAGTCCCTCTTTCTCAAGTAGAGACTAAGTCATAAAGTATGAATCAATATTTGTAACCATTAATTCTCGAGTTCTAGCAAGAACTAGGCTAAATATCACTAATCCATTCACATTCAAGCCCTGAAATCAAATACCCATTAAATACCCACACTAGAGTTGGGCCACAACCCTAGCTATGGGTTTAGTTACTCATGGAAATAACAGAAATTAAAGATGAAATGAAGATAAAATCCATAATATTAGGACCCGTTTGGCCATAGAGTTTGCCAAAATAAATTTGGATTTTATTTGGCAAAGACATGTTTGGCCATAGATTTTGCCTACATTTTGGCCAAATCCCAAAACCAGCTCAATAGCTGGCTTTGGGCCAAAATATCACTATTATATTTTTTAAACATTCCCCCGAACTTTTGTATTTTATAAAAGAGCCCACCATTTATTATTTTGTAATGATGTTGCTTCGTCTTCTCGGTCATCTGATAGTGTATCATGTAGTTTATTATAAAAATGATAATTTTGTATCAAATTTATTTATGTTCAGGACTATGGTTTGCGATAATATAATGAATGTTATTGATAATGGTACTGTTGGATATTTATGATAGTTTCTAGAACTTGTGGGTATAAGTCATGTTTCATATTTTTTCAAACCAAACTTCACCCAAAATAGATGTCCAAACACATTTTCATCTTCAAACCAAACTTCACCCAAAATAGATGTCCAAACACATTTTCATCTTCAAACCAAACTTCACCCAAATCAGATATTTCAGAATAAATTTGGGAATCTATGGCCAAACGCTAGCTTAATTTATAGAATGAAAATCTAATGTTAAGAAGTGAATCTAGTACAAAAATTTCCAAAAACAGTAAAACCAGTCGTCACAGGTGCTTATACAAAACATAACATAACCTGACATACCCTAAAAATGACAAAAAGTTCTATTTATACTAAGCTAAAAATATCTGACAAAAATGCCCCTGCGGAGGTTGTGGGCCGCGTAATTCTGAGTGTGGCCGCACTCTTGCTTTCGCTGCCGCATAATTCTGATGCAGTCCACGTTCTTCTCAATTTGGATATGGGTTGAGCTAAACTTTCGCGGACCGCATAATTCTAAGAACGGCCGCACTCCAGATTATGCGACCGCATAAAAGTGATGCGGTCCGCGTTCTTTGAAATTAACTCTCTGATTCTTCATCTTGCGGACCGCATAATTTCGATCGCGGCCACACAATTCTGGTGTGGTCCGCACTTCTATCTTTTGTTCAAGTTGTCAACTCTCTGAATCTTAGTAATCGCGGTCCGCGTAACTTCAATCTCGGCCGCGCAGGGACTTTCGCGGCCGCATATTTCTGGTGTGGTCCGCGCTCATCACTTAGTCCAAAATCACACTCTCTGAATTTCCCTGTTGCGGACCGCATCATTTTGATCGCGGCCGCGTCATAGCTTTCGCGACTGCCGCGCTTCAGACCTCTTTGCCCAGCCTTGGTTTTGTTCAACTTTTGACTCCTTTGTGAGTTGATTTTGATTCCTTTGGCTCATTTTGAACAATTCCTGCAAGCAAGCATATTTCATTAGTTTTTGGGAATACCTTTAAGCATTTTTGGCCTAAAACACGAGTAAAAGAGAGAATAGGTTAAAATCCCTACTTATCAGGGACAAAGTTCTGCTATACAATAGTAGACTTAGGCCGTTCCCTGGAAAATTCAAGTCAAGATGGACAGGTTCGTATGTGGTAAAACATGTCTCACTGTATGGCGCCAT